CGTCAGCAATTGTGTTCTAATAAATTCTATATTAACAACCTCGTGTCTGCTTATTGATGAAAAACATTGAATTATCTCAGTATCGTTATGGTTGAATTCCATATAATACCTTGCCGTGAAAAATTGAAGTAGGCAGGAAATGAAAAAGTTAAACTGTGATGTTTCTCAACGTACCATTTATGTTTACAGCTGTCGTTCTTCCGTTGGAAATTCAAATAAAAAAGTAAAACTTAAATTCCGTAATTTTTGGAGGTTTTATTATAGTTTTTATTATAGTTCTAAACATTTAGAACTGCAAGAACACTGCGTATGTACGAATAAGGCGGTAGAACGAAGTCTCCGTGATAAATCTGCGTGGTTGTCAATTCCCTAAATACTAAGGTTATCGAGAAATCAGCGTCAGTTATAGGGAAACCAACTCTGGACGTCGTGTTAGTGTTTAAGGTGGTCATTATTTCCGCGCTCTATGTGTGGAAAACCATTCATGATTAGTCGACGTGCAATGTTTGTGTGGTTATCTCAAAGATTTCGTAGCTGCCTTCGTTAGTAAATCGCGGGAGTTTCCATAAATATATTACTGGCTTGTAATTGTTCGAAAAGGACGCGTGTAGCGCAGTATTCGAGGTATCCTGCAGCACACGTGGGTTCGATCTGGTATTCCGGACTCATCAAGTCTTTCATCTCTTCGGGATCTGCAAATTGCTACTAGGCCCGCCCGTTTGATAGAATAGTATCACTGCCTCGATGCATCGTGAAACCACCACTAGTCGTTACGTAGGCCAGATATACAGTTATATATGCATTCATTTACCTTTGACGATGGTTGATGAAGTCTAATGCATGTCGCATCCCTCAAAGATTTATAAACGCCGAGAATTTTATCCTTTAGCTTTTAATTATTCGAACTGTTCAGGATTCTAATTCAAAAGCAAGTTTCCTTTAACCTCGGTATGACAAATGAACATGTTTTTAAATTGTTGAGCTTACACGGAGTTGGTGAAGCTGTTTACTCGGCTAACATTTCGACATTTTCGTCTTCATCAGAGTCGATGATCCGAATCAAGTACAACAAGTACAGCTGTGGACTATCGACTCGTATTATCGGCTCCGATGAAGACGAAAATGTCGAAACGTTAACCAAATAAACATCTTTATTAACCTCGTGTAAGCGCAACAATTTAAACATATATTCAGAGTTGTTTTCTATTTTTTTTCAGAGTGTGGACATGTTCGTTGCACAGTGGTCCGGTCAGATGTTGGCACATTCCTTAGGACATTTACTTGGCCTCGAGCACGATACGCCTTCCTGTCAATGTGACACAGATACAGTGAACCAGCAGTGTATCATGAACGATAAACCAGGGTTAGGGTTTCGCCTTCTGGATCTTTACTGCTATAGTATTTGCCATTGTTTTCATAAATATATCATGACGTGTTAATGCTCTTTTAGAAAATCCGGTGTCGCATTTGCTTGGCAATTTTCGAAATGTTCAATTGCTCGAATGCACGGTGTGTGGCAATCCGGAAATGTTCACTGCTTATTGAATAAACCGTTTCAAGTACGTTGCATTTTCTTCTGCTGTAAATCTGACAGTATTAACACTCCCACGACGATTGGCACCTATAGGTGTCATTTTCTTTCTGGTGGTTTATTTTCGTGCACAGAAGTTCTTTCCTAGACTTTTTGTAGTCATTCGTAGCTCATTCAATGCAGATGTTGTAGCGGGCGTAGTTAATGGGAGAGTATCCCATTAATAATCCCTCATTTAATAATTCATAAAAAGGTCTTGTTTTGGATGAGTTCATCTCATCGGTGAGAGACCACTGCTGCTGAAGAGGGTGTGCAGCTTGGGGAGCGTGGCCTTTGAAGAGGCGCAGAAACGCCTCTCCTTGTGCACTGGGATTCGACACCTGGAGAGAGGTTTTCTCCAGGATGAAATGAGGAATCATCGAGAAGACCTCTTCAGAGTGGCCAAATGTTTGCAGAGCATTAATTCGTCAATATGATTCAACAGAGAAGTCGTCAACCATGTGCGACCCTGAGCGGTTGTTCTTCCTCGGTGGAAGACAGGTTGAAAAAGCGGCTCTGAAGAAGGTGATTCTGCCGAGACGTCAGCTACGATTGTGTTGTATGTGAACCATTGTATGGAAGTAAACGTATGCCGTTTAACAACCTCGCAACTGCTGAGAGAGAAAACAACGAATTCGTGATTCAACAGAGTTTAATTTTATAGACACCTGTAAAGTCGTTTTAGTAAAACCATAACGATGTGTTGGATGTTGTACGCAGAAGCATTTAATGTACTAATAGTTGGTTTGGTATCTAATATACGTATAGTATTATGCATAACATGCAATATATATCCAGCATAGGCAAATTTAGGATATTCTTTATTCCATAGCATATCAGGCGAAACCTGTAGTAGTGCTCACCCTTTCTAAACAATGATTACTCCTCCAACTACTGATTGCCTTTGCAATCTCTACGATGAATCATGGTAATGCTAAGGAACGAGGGGATACAAAGAAACATTGATACCTATAGAACGATGGTGCAGTGGTTTTTCTATAGATTTGTTAATGTTCCAACTACTGAAGCACACTAATAATCGAGAAATTGTGGAGAGTTGTCGAATAAGTAGCATTTGTATAAGCACAAAAACATGGGAGTAGTGTAGGAAAACGTGGAGCGTTAAATAGGATAGGAAAGGAGAATCACAGATATTTTTCCAGGACGAAGAGATAATCCGATTTCTAAAACGGAAATCACGTAAGGAGGGCAGGCAACGAAAGCCATTTTAGAATGACCGGTGCGGCACCTATAGGTGTCACAGCGAGTGCATCGAAAAGTTAGGCGTCGTCCATTCTTCAAAAACACGAAATTAGGCGTCGCCACGAGAGTGTTAACAGTTTGCCCTTCATCAGTATTTAGAAATACTCAGCCGAAAATTTGTCACTATTGTGAAGCATCACAATCTACACTCACGAAAAATTTATAAAGGAGACCTATCCACAACACGATTTTAATAATAAGCAATCGATGACGGCTTACTCTTATTCATAATGAATAAACATAATTTGCAGTGGATGAGTATATTTTTCACTGAAGATCATTAAGTTGATGCAAGAAATTTGTTCTTGATGGTTTGAATTCTGAACGAATCTATTCGCCTGATCGTATGTTTCATTGGTTTAGCCTTCTCAACTTCGCGAATGTGGAAATGGTGTTGTGGACGGTTCAGAAGAATGTGATTGTGGAACACGTGAGACTTGCACTGATCCGTGCTGTGATCCGCTTACATGCACGCTACGAGCTCATGCTCAGTGTGCAGGTCATCATCAATGTTGTTACAGATGCGAGGTATGATTTTTCCCGGAGATCTAGCAATGGGTCAACTGGTTTTTGCCCTTGGATAAAGCAAGAATGGGAAAAATTTTACGTTGTGCCAGTTATTCTGGTTTGTTGACATGTTCTTACATGTTGACATGTTGACACGAATTGATTTCAACTCATATTTGGTCGGTATTAAGTTCTCAACTAAGCAAATTTATCCTATTTCGTAATGATCCTTTCCAGTATAAGTGAAAACCATTGGAGTCTACAGATCTTTGCAGTAGAATAGTTGTTCTGTTGTATTAGCATGGTAAACTTCTTTTGAAGTCCTTAAACCATTTTTCATTTCTCGTCGAGAATCGTATCCCCAAATACAAAGCGGTTCAACGAAAGAAAAAATTTCGTTCGTATAGTATAAAGATGATGTCCTTGAATGTATCGTCAGTTTGTGCGGTTGCCTCGCTCGCGTTCAAAAAGAGCGAAATTTTAGGAAGAACAATATTTCGGAGGAAGCATGTATGCTCCTATATTGATTGTCAAAGTCTCAGGTTCACGTTTCAAGTTATGCGAAGACCTCTTTTAGGATAAAAGTCTCAAATTTGTTAATCCCAACTACTCAAGTTCTGTAGTTATAAAAAAGCATCCTCACAAATGAATGGGAATAAATGCATGGCGGGAATTGGTATAACGGCAGGAGGTTACGGGTCTCAAAATGCTTAAAACAGGAACTAGTTCTATTTAAAATTATTTGCAAAGCCTCATCCTTATGCAATGTAGTTTTAGTTACGAAAAGCCGGTGAAGTGTGTCGAGGTGCTCATTCGCCATGTGACGTCGCTGAAGTTTGCGATGGAAAGTCGGGAAACTGTCCTGCAGATGGACACTTGGTCGACGGCACAGCCTGCGGTCGAGGCGGGCAATGCTGGCGAGGCAATTGCAGCGATCTTTATCATCAGTGCCAGGAAATCTGGGGAAGAGGTAGGTTTTTTGTTGAGCTCTTCTCGGATAGTGATCGTGCCCAGCGGAATTCTGGATCAATGATTTGTCGTTTTTTGTAAATGAAAGGACGTATGCTAGCTAAGTTCTTTATTTGTTGTATTTGATGAAGTTTCCTGTCATGCATCCATCGTCTATTTAAGTGTCTCTATAATTTGAATATCTCGCGAGACCTCCTTACCCTGAAAACAATTCCTTTCTTGTAGTTGGTGAATAGTAGTAGGAGTGGGGATAGCGCATTGGTTACTGCTGCCGTAGGAGAGGAAGCAAAGGCGGCAGGTAGTTCGACGTTCGCCCCAAAGCTCTCCTCCAGTCCACATGGTAACGCTTTCGCACGGCTATCTCAAAGGTTGCAAGAAAGGTAGACTAGACCATCATTCCACAACATTCATAAGAAAGCTGAAATCCTCGATCAGCAGCTTAAAAAAACACGCGAAATGTCCAAGAACCTTTTGTGGATTCGTGGAAAACGAATCGAATGCAAGAAGTGCTGGGATCCGCACTGTAGATGTGATGACGGGTTGTGTTTTAAAAAGTTGTAGGTAAAAGAGGCAAATGTTTTACCATCATATTTAGTTTTTTGCTCAAGTGCCACTAATACATGAATGTGCAGGTGCCCGAGTCGCGGATGAAGAATGTTTCAAGCAGAATACTCGTGGTCACGAGTACGCAAATTGTGGTTTGAGTGATAGTAGTGGGGCTTATCGCTCTTGTCAACCTGAGCACATTAGATGTGGGACGCTACATTGCCAAGACGGCTCGATTACACCATCGAAGTCTTCTGTGAGAGCCTTTACTTTCCAATTTCAACAGGATGAGAAGCAGGTAAATTCTTTTTCAAGCAGAGTATGTTCAGTTATTTAACTTTCGAGAAAGAGCGTGTTTCTTGGCGCCGGTATTTTTTTTTTTTGATAATTGTTACATTGGAGGAGTTTGAGAATCTTACTTCCTTAGAAAAGAAAAACTCTGTATCATCCCAAGGGCGTTCATGGTTTTTCAAATAGCTTAGAATGCTTCTGAAACCTAGTTTGAAAGCATTCGGTCAGAAATTTTAAAATTTTTGATCTAAGCGCAGAACTTTTCGAGATCAACGTCGAATTCAGAGAGCCTGTCATGTCGTATTGAACGTTTTGCGGGTTTTGGCGGCTACATGCTTCGGTGGAAGGAAAAAATCTGAAAAGCTAAGAAGTAAACCTTTCGTGTGATCAAGAAAATCTGAGTTTTATCGCGTTTTAGTAAGGACAGTTTTAAAGATTTAAGGGCAAGTTGTTTAAATTCTGATGGCGCTTATTTTAATTGATAAGGTTCGCTATGAGCTTGTGTTTGGTTGTTGATTGTTTGTTTGTTTTGGGTTGACGGGAGGAAATATTACTGGCTACCAGTGAGTTGGAATCTATTTGTTGTTGGAAATACTAAATTTGAAACATGTACGCATTGGGAACTGGGACCTTTTCATCGTTGGCTTTATCTAACAGTGAGTTACAAATTTAAGTGAACGGAAAGTAGGGCTATCTTGAGAATTCTCTTCCTATCTGTTCAACGACAATTTCCATTCGGCTAGAAATTTGCTGGCTAGGGAAGACTCTTACTCTGAAATTTCCAGAAGCCGTGATAGGGCTTTAGAGGGTCGTCACCACTTGCTAGTAAGTGGCCACATTATTGCCAGGTTAGCATTGATTTCCTTTTTCCATTTCCTGTTAAGTGGGTTTTCGTGTGAAAATATCAAAGTTCTTGGATTGGGAGGCATTGAGGTGAACGCATCCTGGAGTGCCTAACACCTAGCAGCACACCTCTGTGCAGCGATGGTGTGACAAACCATTGAGGGTGTCTTCTTATGGATCTGACTAATATGTGTGTGGTTTTACAGCATTGAACAGATCAAATTAAAGATACCGGAACATCAGCTAACATAAAATTAGATATTAACGAAAACGTTTGATTGGGTTGCTACAACAACGTTGATAACTTCTTTCGTCTAAGACACGCTTATTCAGGTGCAGTGTAAGTCGATCGCGGATGACAGTGTAGGTCTTGTGCAGGACGGATCTACTTGTGGGTCTGGTCGAGTTTGTGTCGCTGGTTCATGCGTTGAAATGTCCTCTGTGAGTCTGTTTACTGTTCCATACCACTGCTTCCTGTTTCCTGTATCTTGGCTATTTTTGCTAGTTTAATTCTATATCTACTTCTTTTTACTAAATTTTCTTGTTCAATAGATTCTAGTAAGTGTTTTATTTTAAAACCAAGGATTTTCTTCTGGTAGGTCTCAACACCAGTCAACTGTCCTTCAAACAATCATGCCTTGCAATGTTCAGGTCATGGCGACTGTACCACTACTTCTGTGAGTTTCCTGTCATTCTTTGTACTTTCCTTTTCAGTTTCTTATTTGAAAAGTTTGGATAAGTGTTCCGTTCTTCCAGGTCTGCGTCTGCTTCGCTGGTTGGATAGGCGTAGCGTGTGATACCCGATCAAACACCACTTTGTCAAAAAACCATGGTCTCTCTCGTAATATTGTCATTGTGCCATCAATAGCCGAAGGGAAAACTCTTGACACTGCCACACTCCTAGGTATTTTGCTAATTGTGAGTTTTCTTTCAGCTGCTTGCTAGCTTTACTTACAGTGAATTCATTCCTCATCCGTACTTAAATAGGTTGGTGTTATTCTGCTTCTTTTGCTTGTCTGTCTTCTCTTTTGCTATCGCCGTCGATCAGTTGTCGAGATTCCCACGTCATCTGATGAAAAGTTGGATGAAAGTCTCCCAAATCAGACTCAACGTTCAATTAAGTTCGGCAGTATGCCTAGTTGGAGGTGAAGGGTTTCTTTTTGTTTCATATTTTTTAAATAATTTTCAGTTCTTGAATTCCAGAGATGAGAAGCGTCGACGAAAGAGTAACAAGCACGTATATGGTGCTCTTAATCGCATTACCGAGGCGGATGAAAGAGATTCAGCAAGTGTGAGGCAAGTTAAACACATCGTTATCATCGTATGGATCTGAAAAATATGATACAGTACTATCCAAAATATGTGGTTCATAAACAAATTTCAGATCACGAGAAAGCGGAAGCCAGAATGCTGGAAGCCAAGTACTTTTCGAGTCTCATCATACTGTTCCTTATAAGTGAGTATAACTGTGCTCTTATGTTTTCATTCGTCTCATGAAAAAATGTTTTAGTCGCACTGATTTAAGTGGTCCATGTTCGGAGCGTATGCACGATCACATCTATGCTGATTCAGTTATGATGTCAAACACTTCTCCGTATCATTTGGACCACTCTATGGGGTTCGTACTTGTAGTTTTTTCAAAAATTTATTTTCCTTGTTCGATGTGACAAGTAGTCAGGACAGGAACAGGTTTAAGTTTCTTCTTAAAATAATTTCATAGTATTGGTCATGTTTAAGGTCTTTGCATAGTTGGTCGAAATCACCGAGCACTAGTGCAGAACGTCTTGCACCGACTCCACTACGTCTAAATAATATTAAGCAACTGCTTCGCAATTTGCAAAGTGATGACTTGACGGAGAATTTCTGTGATGAAGGCATGGAATTGCTCAATACACGCTGTCCTCTAGAGGCATACGGTATTTTTTTTAATAAGTCTACTTTTCTAACGGAGATGGTTGGTGGTGACAGTTCGTAAATCGTTGTTGATGTGGACTTAACCAAGAGGGTGTTTGAAATGTTTTAGAAATTTTAGGAATTTCAGCGAATGTTTCAATAGTGCTGTTGAAACTGGTAGTGTGACATATTTGACCGAATTTTATGTCTAGGAAGGTACTTATTAATGGTGTTTGTAGAAGAAGGTGATTTTTTGGAATCTGCTGGAAATACGGGCATTTTTAGGGAGTTCTTACAAACCATTAGTCGAAGGTTGTGGTGAAGAAGAACTATCAGGAGTGGAAGCGGATCACGACCTTGGTTCTAACACGGAATCCAGCCGTGGCTACGACCTAGAGCCTCGTGCAGAGGTCGAACAGGAGAACGGTGATGCTATATCCTCACCCGTTGGTCGCAGTACATGTGATTTTCGGCAAAGTCCTTCACTTTTCAACGACTCCTTTAAACTTGAGATGTCATCTTCAATACATACATGATTTAGGAAGTGACCCATCATGCTTTTCAGTTAGTGTTTTGTCAGCTGTATTTACCAAAAATATCTCTATTTTTGATCAGGAAATTCCTTTCCAAAGTCAGGGGTCGTAATTTTTTTTTTTTGTTAGCATCTAGGAGATATCCGATTTACCTATTAGTGAAAAATGTTGTGCAAGAAATCTTTGTTATTGTTATACATTGCATTTTTTTCACTTGAGTGTAAAAACTGTTGAAGTGGTTTGTTTCGAAAGTGACCTATGTCATTCTTCTCTAGTTTGGAAGCTGACTTAAATGCTCTTTTTACTTTATCATATCCTTAAACAGTTGATCTCACCATATGTTGCTTAGTATTTGAACTGTGGTCTGCTCAAAGTATTCGTGTTTGTTCATTCTACGCAGTTATCTAATACGCAGTTAAGCAATAGGTACTCGTATACTGCCGAAGGCGTTGTTATCCATTTTGTTATCAGTGCCTGCCATTTCCATCGTCTCAATTCATTTCACTGTCAATGACATTTTAAATTTATCGGATGTATCTTATGTTGGTAGAACCACGTTAATAATACTGATTAGGTGGAATACATTTTGGATTTTTTCAACAATTGATTATAGGTTTTCGATAACTTTTATGATAAAGGTTACTCTGCTCCGATAATAAAGTCAGTTTTGATTCCATGCAGTTTCATGTCTTACCTTGTTTGAAAGAAATTCAACGTTCAGATATGTGAGTCTTGGATAATCCATTACCAAAGGTGGGACATAGATTTATCGGATTCTTTGAATGATTAGGTGGGGAATAGCGCGGTGGCAGTCAGTGATGTCGATCATTACGAGCATGGTACTGGTTCGATCGCGCCTTGGTTCCCGGTTTCCGTCTCTCTAGGCAGCAAATTGATTACCGGATTTGTCCAGGAAAAAAATTGCTCTTTTCAATCCGAATGGGAACGCTCTAGTCCGGTTATTCAGGACTCCAGGAGAATCGTATGGACCAGCATTCTACGATATTCGAGATGAAATGGAAATAGTCAAGCAGCAACCAAAGTTACACGTAAAAGTTGGTTGACCTTAGTTGGTGGTGTATGATGGAAATGAATCGAATATGGGAAGTGCTGGGATCCGCACAGTAGATGTGAAGGACTGTATGATGGAATGGTCAACTTTGGAAATCCTCCGTTATGTTATTATCCATCTTCATTGAAGAGAGGTACACATGCAACATCGGTATGATTTGTTTACATCCGCACCACACCACAGCGAAGCGAAGACAAAGTGGTCTGTGAATGGTGATCCGATTGATTCCGACGGTGTGAAAGGCTTTTTTATAATCGGAATGGGTTACGACAAAAAGCATGCTCTTTCCTCGAAGGACTTCTATAACACGATTTGGACATAGTCCATGCATTAGAGTCTCTGCTGCAATCCTACTTGGTCAAACTGTAGCACAGATTCAAAAGGAAAACGGGGCTATGGTTACGGATATTCTTCCGGTCACTGTTCGTGCACAAGATAACCGTGCACGAGGTGCTGCATTATTCTGGAGATTTGTTGTTGTGAAGTTGAGATCTCATACAGGTTGGGAGAAGTGCGTGTAGTCTGTCGCTTCCATACTTTCCTGAAAGGAAATGAACTCTTTACAGTTCTATTTGCAGAAGAGAAATCTTGCGGACCGTCTTATCTGGGCTGTTCGTAGTCACTGAAGTTTACTTAATTTATAGAAGTGTTTCGAAGAGTTTAAAGAAACGAAAGTTATGAGTATTACAACTTTTATGGTGCTCTTGCTAACATTTGACACTGTAAGGATAAAAAAGAATAGTGCTGTCGGTGTTGACCAATCCCTGAGGGATGCTCCACGGCTTCTATTTCGTCAAACGTCGTTAGAGGTGATTGAATGCGAATCTGGTCTTAACAATGACTCGCGGTAGCCTACTCATGTATAGAGCCAGTGTTGCTGTCCTCTGGGACAAGTCTGGTACCAATTTTTCAGCCCCGAGGAGACGGAGAGTTTGGTGAGCCTAGAGCGCAGGATAGAGCCCATGTGTATTGCAGGGCACCTCTAACCACTACGCTACACGCGCCATGTGACTGATAAAAGGATAAAGGGTAAGTCTCTCGGAGTTGATCAATCTTTGAGAGATGCGCCATCTATTCGACTTCATTAAGCACCGTTGGAGGTGATTAAATGCATATCCAGCCTTTACAATGACTTTTATTCGTCGGGCAACTTGCATATCTCAACGAATGCAATGATTACACTCATTTCAACGTGTTAGAAGCACAAATACAGTACCGACAAAAATTATTGGATCCTCGGTTTCCTCGTGTTATCAAAGCGTATGTGTGTGTTAGTGTGTTAAAGTGTTATCGAAAGCCTTTTTGACTGCATGGCGAACTCGCATTACCAGGAGAAGTTGTCCGAATATCTGAAAAAGTGAGAAGCCGTTGATGTGTTTGGTGAGGAATGTGGACAAAGGCAAGATACCGTAGTCCACCACATTCAGCCTCTGAACCAGCACCAGTGGAATACGTGCTTCAATGCTGACGTGCAGCACAATCATCCTTTTCCTACTAGGCAATGAAAACTAGCCTTAAAGGAAAAGCTTTTTTCTGCCACAGCCTCCCCCTTGTTCAAACAGTTGTAGTGGATGGTGTACAAAAAACGATTTAACTTGAGGAATTGGCCTAGGGATACAGTCTGCTTTTCACCAGCATCACTGGCTGTCATACCAAATTTCCCATGCCAGCTGAAGTTTCAGTTAAACAACAAGCTGTAGATTTTTGACATTGTTATTTCTGCCTATTTTTGAGGTTACACGGAATCTATTTGTTGAGTTTTAAGATTTTCCTAGCATGAAAAGTTAGTGAGAACTTGTTCCAAAGTACTGGCGAACCTTCCTGCTGGTTATGGAGTAAATTGGTGTGGTTCCTTTCCAACCAATGTCATCTTCGACTTCAACAACAATAGTCTGGATTCTAGCACCACTTGGTGGGCTTATGTCTTACCATACAAACTTCTGAAACCGAAAAAATTTGTTGATGAAGCTGTCCGTCTAAGCGCACTATTACTTTGAGCAGTTACTTCACTACTTTTCCATTAATACAAGAAATTAGCGGAAGTACAAACCTGTTTCATGCTTTTAAAAAGCTATTAGAGACATTCCTGTTCTGTCAATAAACATAGAGCCAATTTTAACCTTTAAAACAATACATAGAATATTGATTCATTTAAAATCATCTAAGAAGAAAAAACGACCTGAGCTTTAATAATGTAGAATCAGAATTTTTCCAGACTACCATCGTTTCGGTTTTACTAGTACCTTTTCCCTGTTCACTTAAACAAGTAGCACTATTACATGGTTACGATAGTTCTAATGGTTTCACTAACGAGGACTCTTTATTTTGAGCTGGAACAAAATCATGGCCGAGCTCATCACCGATGACGTTCTGTCCATGCGTGTGTCAAAGACAACAAGCCGCTCCATCGAGAACAATTTGCGTATAAATTGTGGAAAAAAAACTATAGTAGATCACAAAAATCAACGAAACTAGAGAAATCTCGATTCCATATCCTTTTTAATTTTTGTTTTGCAAAAAAAGCAGAAGGCTTTGAGGGTTGCAAGCAAAGTAACAAATTTTCAGCCAAATAAAATGGATGAAGCTCTCGGCATTGATCGCTTCTTTATGGATGTGTCATGCATTCGACTTCACTAAGCATCGTTTGGAGGTGATTGAATAGATATCTGGTCTTTACAATGACTCGCGGTTGCCTATCTATGTATCAACCTAGTGCTGATATCCTCCCAGACATGTCTGGTAGGAATTTGCCGACCCCAGAGAGATGGAAAGCTTGGCCATGGGTGCGGGGATCGATCCTATGTGTATTGCAGGGCGCCTCCAACCACTGCGCCACCAGAGTCCATTTTTCGGCCATTATCTCCATAATAACGTCATAATAATCGCATCGCATCCCGGTGAATTTTGAGAAATATTTTCGTCTATTTAAGCAAATTTCTATCGGCCTTCTTACTAGATAAGGATCAGTACAGTATCTTTATGTTGATTTACGTGGTCTAATGAAATCTCTCAGACAGATAACCTGTTCTATGGTTTTTTTCTTAAGTATTTTTCATACATCCTATAATTCTTCAATTTTGTTTTTAAAACGTTCATAAATTATCATTGTCATTAGAGCATTCGTTTTTCATTGGAAATAACCAGGCAATAGTAACGACAGAAATTACTCACTGCTAGTATTTCATATGCGGTAGCACGTTGTCGATAAAAATGAATGATGACTTAGTAGGACACGTTAGTGACGTCGGTGGCAGTGTGAGGTACTGCTGCAGTGCATGGTCGGTCGTGGGCGGCTAGCAGCGTGACGGTGGAGGGTTTGGAAAGAACGAGATTCGGAAAGCACTTGCACAACTGGCAGGCCAGCCAGCCAGTGTGGCCGACTCGGTGCTGTTAGCCGACTCCACCAAGCAGAAGTGTGCTGCTACACAGTTGCTCGACTGAATCTAAAATACGGATGCATCACTCAAGCCAACTTCTAGAAATGTTAACTGTTAATGGCACTAATGAAAGAATAAGAGGTAGAGTTAGAGAATTGATCACTTTCTGGCGGCAACAGACGTGGGTTCAGCTTGTGTAGAAGGCATGTCAACGAAACTGGAGTGAATTCTGATGTTGCTGCTATTCCTAGTTCCCTTTATAAAGCGATAGGAAGCATTCAGTAGGAACTGGATAGCTGCAGTATATCAATGACGCTGTGAAAACTTGTTATTAAATGTCGCCTGGGCTTTATGTTCTCTTTAAAGGATACTTCTTTGCAGTCTTATTTTCCTGGGTTGTATGTGTGCACAGGAAAAGAGCAGAAGGAGGATTCTTGTAAAATGCCCTGGCAAATAGCCATTTCCAATGGTTACGAAACCCTAACCTCTCGGGATAGGTGTGCAGGAAAACCCATGTCCCAAACGATAACTCTAGCAAAAATAAAATCCCGCTT